GGTAAGTTAGAGTTTTGAAAGTTGAAGGAAAAATTTTCTGTTTTTAAAAAAACCGATTGGCTCACTTCGTACTCTTTCTCTGTGCTTCATTGAGAGTTGTACTTTTCCTTGTTGATAACACAGGGCATAAGCAAAACAAAAACAACAAAAACCCCCCATAACTATGATACCATCTGGCATGCATCTTTTTGGAAATTCCCACTCTTGTCAACAAGTCTACATGATGAGTCTTCATGAACTCACCTCCCATGATTTATGTGTATTTTTCCTTCCTGAGTTTATGTAATAAGAGCATCAGAGAAAAGCTCATTATTAAAGTGCTTGTAAACTTCCAGTAAAGGAGGAATTTACAAGAATGCCTAGTAATATTAAAGTAAGAAATGGGAAAGAAAAGGTGGTAATTTGTGTATTGTTAATGTCCAAATGCGTATTACTTTAGCTTTCAAGTAGAAGCACGAACTCTTGACACTCTGATGTTAACATCTATGGAATTATTTGTTTTATGGACTCACTATGTATTTAGTTCTTCATATGCCCTCAGGGGAATGGGCCAAGAGCCTATGGGCAGGAACCAGAGAGAAAGATTATCAATCATTAGGCAGATTCCAGGTTATTAGTGCTGTTCAAGGGAGGATTGAGCTACTTCATGGAGGGGCAAGCTGTCTGGCAACGCACCAGTTCGAGATTGGCAGAAGAGTTGGTAGTGAGGGTTCAGGCATTGGGTGGGGGAATGAACTAGATAATCTTTAAAATCCCTGCATCCTGGGATTCTGTGGTTCTGAGATTTAGAGAATGGAAGCAGACAATAGGTTATTGATAATATCTTGGGGTTAGAGACTGAAGAATGTCTTTTTGAAGTACATTTTATGTTTTATTTGTTCTAAAATTCTTTTTTTCCTTGCCCACATCAACCAGAAACCCCTCAGTTCCTGCACATGGGTGAGATCATAGATGGTGTAGACATGCGAGCTGAGGTTGGACTTCTCACCCGGAACATTGTGATCCAAGGAGAAATGGAGGACTCCTGCTATGCAGAAAATCAGTGCCAATTTTTTGATTATGATACCTTTGGGGGACATGTTATGGTAGGCAAAAGGACTTGATGATTTATTTGAAATCCTGGTTGCTAAATGCATGTTTAAAAGAACTTTCAAGTTTTAGAATGAGATATATGGAGAGATATTAAAAAGAAATCATATTTCACTTCTCTCAAATGACAATGAGCAGGTTTTAGATAATTAAAAGAGAAAGTTGTACCTTCATTTAGTTGACCTGGACCTGTAGTTAAACCAGTCAAGAATTGTTCCATGAAGAGTTAAATCAAAATATTGGGAAGAACTAACTACACAGAGAAAAAAATGAAGGATCTTGGTATCCATGCATGCAATTTCTTAAAGAATCAATTGATTCTTTTAAAAACATGATATTACTAAAGAGTAAACAGTAGTAGTGTGCACATACAAAATATGTTTCTATAATAATATTTTTTGATTTTTATTTTGTAAAAATATCGAGTACTTATTATATGGTAAGCCATATTCTGTATACTAATCTGTTTTGACTTCTAGGCTGCATTTTGGTTATGTATGTTTTATTTTATTTATTTTTACTTGCCTAGTATTTCTGGAAAGAAAGTTCACATATGTTTTTTTTTTTTTTTGAGACAGAGTCTCACTCTTTTTGCCCAGGCTAGAGTGAGTGCTGTGGCGTCAGCCTAGCTCACAGCAACCTCAAACTCCTGGGCTCAAGTGATCCTTCTGCCTCAGCCTCCCGAGTAGCTGG